AGTTGTCATGGGGCAAATGCACAGGGCAGCAGCATTAATGTATTTGCAGCTGCTGGAGCTCCCTGCACTTGCATGGAGGTCTCTTCCAACAGCAGGCAGGGTTGTTAGCACAGGACTACCAGATAGAGAGGTGCAGCCTGACTTACCTGGGAAACTTAGTCAAATCCCCACACTGGACATTTGATTCCTTTCCACTTCGGTGTCAGTTTCCAGAGTCCAATTTGGTGCATTTTCATGATAATGTTTAGATTAATTTAGCCATGAAGACTTCCCTTAGCATTATCTTACCCACCTTGTCCCTCTGAGTATTAATAACAGTTACACAGCTACAACTGTATGTGCTGGGCTTTAAAGATTCTTCCCCCTCCCCCAGTGCCAGGTCTGTCTTTCAGTGTTTACAGAGCACCCTTTCTCTCCATACTTTCTCCCTATCCCACACCCCCTTATCCCTTTCTCCCTATCCCGCACCCTCCCCCAGTGCCAGGTCCCTCTCTTGGCTTTCTGAGTCTTGTTTCTTTCTTCCTCCACACAGTGGCTGCCAGGTTTCTATTTATTCTGCTCCCTTAGCAGATAAGTTCCTGCCCTTTGCTGGCAAGTCCTTTCAGATGCCAGACCAAACTTTCCTCTCCCTGAACTCTATGGGGAGGTCTACACTATGGGGGAAAGTCGATATAAGCTACGCAATTTGAGTTACGCTAGTAGCGTAACTCAAGTTGACATAGCTTAGATCTACTTACCGCAGGGTCCACACTATGCGATGTCGACGGGAGACTCTCTCCTGTCAACTCCCCTTACTCTTCTCGTTCCGGTGGAGTACCGGAGTTGACGGGAGAGTCATCTGCGGTTGATTTAGCGGGTCTTCAGTAGACCCGCTAAATCGACCCCTGGTGGATTGATCGTTGCAACGTTGATCCACCGGTAAGTGGAGACAAGCCCTATGTCTCCCTCTCCAGTGTCAGGGACTCTGTCAGTTGTTGCCATGCTGCCCCTCTGTCTCTGCTGCCCTACCCTCTCTCTGAGGCAATCTCTATCTTTCTCCCTCACTCTGAACCCCACTACTCTCCAATCCCCTTCTCTAGTTTTCTTCCCTCTGCCAAGGTTTACATCTTTGTTTATAGCCTTCCAACTTCACTGCATCTCTGCACTAATATGGTATCACCAAGTCTAAGCATTCAAATATCACGAGTCAGGGCCCAAAAAATCATCATTGGTTTACAAAATCATGAGATTTCAAAAATAAAATATTTTGACTCTTCATGGGTCTTCTGGCTTTCACACCCTTAGGGGTCTTGTTTTCAAGCTTTTCTTGGCTACCATGAGGGCTATAAACTTATTTTTTTAATTAATGAAAGCTGAGAATCTGGTGTATTCACATGATACTAGGGATTCAAGAAAAACACTACTGATCATGAGACTTTCAATAAAATCATGAGAGTTGGTAGTGCTGTTAAATACGTCATTCAACACTACTTTAACAGAAATTCTCTCTCTTTGTTTACCCATAGTATTTAATCTGAAATGTGCACAAGCCTTCGCAACTAATTCTACCACTGTCTGCATGCATTGCTACTCAAATTGTCTTATTAGTCAAGTTGTTGGGGAAGATGCAGGAATCCCCTTGGTGAAACTATGGCCTGGATAAAGCAGGAGGTTAGCAGAGATTAATGTTCCCTTCTAGCCTTAAAATCTATTAAGCAAGTTCATGCAGTACTTATTCTTCAAAGTATATTTCAATAGACTGTTTTCAGGCAGGACTTTAAGAACTTCTTTCACTGATAATTGAAATATTTCCTGTTTTAGGGAGAAACAGGTGATTCTTGAAGAAGACCTAAGATCAGAGATTAGACATCAGATACATGCTTTTATTTCTCCAACCTTCTTTCTAGGTATTACAAACAGTGGGTAAATAATGCACCATGGACTGAAATTATATAGTTATAGAGCTGTTGAGCCCAACCTCTGCTAACAAAGCCAGCCTTCCACAAACTAGACTAACTGCACCTGAAAACACTTCTCTGCTTTCTCCTGTGCCACCCCATATGCCTCGGAGAAGCTCCTTGTAAAAATCTGCAAAGCTACTACATTGTCCTCCTTAAATCCCACCTCTGCCATGAAGCCTACACAACACTTGACAATGGCTATAAACACAGTAGTTTCACAGGTACCTTGTTCTTCCACAACCCGTTTGTTTTCCTCCTCCTGTTGTCTCTCATCATATAGTTAGACTATAAGCTCTTTGGGGCAGGACTCCCTTGTTTATTTTGTGTGTGTACAGGATCTAGCACAATGTGGCCCTGATCCCTGAATGAAGCGTCTAGGATCTACCACAATACAAATAATAATTAACGTTTCCTTCAGTAATTCAAATTCATCAACAAACTCCAGTGAGTTCAATGAAGTTACACCAAGAATAAATTTGGCCCAATACAGTTATTTAAACATTCAAAAGCATCACATACACTGTTTTAAAGGATAAAATAAAGGGGAAACCAGTAAAAAATTATTTACTGTAAATTTTGAAATAAACAAGGTGGCAAATTAATTTTCTGTACAGATGAACCACTAAAAATATTGTAATTAGTAAGACACTGAAAAAGACTGAATAGACCTGAAATGGATTTAATACATGTTGAATAAAATATAAACTTGGAATACTTTTTAATCCTTGTTCAACCCCAAAAGAGGCAGGCAGACAGATTGATCTAGGGGATTGGATGGCTGAAGAGATTACTAACAGGATAAAGAACTTCTTCTCGGTCACTAGTCTGAAGTCAGCCCAGAATAGTGGTGTTCCAAAGTAGTTACCTTGTCACAACTGTTTGGTAATTTACATTAAATGAGTATGATGAACACAAGCGTTCACATTAAAAAAAAAGAAAGAAAAAAAGGCCAAGATTTCCAAAAATAGTTGCCTAAAGTTTGTCTCTGAAATCTATAGTGGGTGTCTAGTTTTTGACCATGCTGAGCAACCAGCAGCTCCTACTGAAGTGGGTGCTTTGTACTTGTATAAGCTTACTTATTCAGATACCAAAAAATGGATTCAGGAGCTCAACTTTAGCCACCTACTTTGAAAAATCTTGACCACAGTTGACACACTTATGGGCAATGGACTGAACCAAACCCTTGGTCCAGGAACACTTGAGTATGGCTGCTCAGGCCCATCTAAGGTCTAATTTAAACAGAACTTTGTACAGTTACAAGGGCCAGGACATTTTAAGTTAATTATACATTAAAAAGCCTAAGCATTTGAAAGTATGGACACACAGAGTTAAGCCACCTCTCATAGTCTTAAAGCTGCCCCTGTACATCTGCAAACCATCCATGCAAATTCACCAGAAAAACTTACACTTATAAATCGCATACTACCACTATACTTTCCCACATCTGACACATACAAATATGCATCCTACACAACCACAGATTTATAAGATGTACCACCTAACCAACCACAGATTTATAACACACACACATATATCATGGAGACTCTCAGCATAAGTACAGTGGAAAAAATACAATACACACAGTAACACTAAGAGCATAATGTTCTAACCAAAATTCCCTCCACAAGCTTCACCAGCTACTCAGCCTGAAGAAGATGCTCCCCTCCCCAAAAGGCCTTATACTGTACCCCGAAGGTAAAAACCATGGGCTCTATCTGAATAGCATCTTCTACAGTCTAGGATGTTCATATAAATAGGACTCATCAGCAGATGTATCCCGTGCAATCTCAACTCTCAGGATGGTGCATGGAAAGAGAGACAGTCTCTCAGGACCCAAATATTTTAGGACTTTATCGATCAAAATGAATACACTGAATTGCAAATCAGAAGCCTGGGGAGTCTACAGAGAATAGTTGGGGATATGTAGGCTTCACATGACTGATACAGCCAACCAGCCAGTCTCATTTTGTGTTGGCTGATGCTTGGCTGAGTCCAATGTAGAGCAAGTGATTGTAATCTAGTCTGGAGGTGTAAAAGGCATGAATGAACACAGTGGAATCCATGGCATGGAAGAAATGTCACAATCTCCTAGTTAAACAAAGGTAATGAAAAGGTCTTCTGGCCACTGCCATTGCCTGACACTGAAAAGAGCAGTTGGGGATTCTAAAGCCTGTAGAGGCTGTTAATATCAAAGAGCAGACATACCACTTTAGCCGAGGTAATGCATACTGCCCTCACAAGATCCCCTAAGCCAACCAGCATCATCTGAGTCTTGTCTGAACTGAGCCTTGCCAGTCCTATCACAGCCACACTTCCGGAAAGCAGATAATTTTACCATCTAGATCTGCTGAGAGTAGAGCTGAGCATTGTCATCCTATCAACGACACTGCAGCCTAACCCACCTCAGTATTTCCTCTAGCAACTTCACCAGGGAAGTCACTTCAGAAAAAATGGCGGAGGGAGGCGGAGGGGAGAGTTTTGTCAGCATATAGAATGTTGTATGTGCTTATAATTTGGGGGATGAGGGGAATGGAGCACATAGACTTATGAAAAGTCCCAGGGGCACTATGCCTCCTTGTCCAATAGCAAATGATGTTTCTGAACTTCATGTATGTGTTGAGCAGGAGAGCTGACATATCTGTACAATCCCACATGAAAGAACGCTGGAGTAGATAAGTAAGTACTCTCCAGCTAGGACCTTACCAAGAAAGGGACAGAGCCATTGACATGTGACTCCATCCATTCCTGGCAGGAGTCAACAACAACTCGGAATCAGTAATAGCTAAAGCAGCTCACAGAGCCATTATGGACACCTAATCTTTTGTGCATTGCCAGTAGGAGATCATCACTGGCCATGAAACTAAAGATACTAGTTTCTGTACTACACCCTGGCTTCAAACCTTGTTGAAAGAGATCAGATATGTTAAATGAAAAGCACTGTCACACAACCTTCTGTAAAATATATTTATCTGCAAAGGACATTGTGAGGATTAATGTTAGCACAGCACTCTGCTAATATAAAATCTTATGCTAGAGCTCAATTATAATCAAAGGACTTACAATATTCCTCATATGTTTCAACAATATTGTCAGGTGGGTGCACTCATAGGATATGACTAACTGCACTCCAGGTTTCTGTTCAGTAGATTTTGGACCTGAAATAAGCAAAAGAAATTAATTTCCAGTTATTGAAAGTGTGAATTTCCAGTCAGTGAAAATATTAATGGGAATGCATAGCTAAAGCATTGAAATACTATTTTAAATAACATGTATAACAAAATATTGCCTGCTTAAGGAAGGTCTGGAATTAGAAAACACTAAAGATGAGCTTGTTATAAATATTAGGCCATTAAGAGAGATTTTACATTTTCATTTGTTGGTCAGTCTGAATTTCAGCTGGAATGTTAAGACCTAATTATCTATACCCTAAGGGTATATTTTAGAAAAATGAACATAATTGAACTGTTGTTTGTGATTTTTCCTATACATTAAAAAAAAAATCTTACATGGGGTTTCAATTTCTTCCAGTTTGCAGTGGGGGAAAAGAAGCTCTTACTTGTATAGGAGGCAAGGCATGTAAATCAGTGCAGAATCTGGCTTACATTTATAGACACAAGAGTTCGCAAAAAGGTCCCAAAACAACTGTAGATTTATGAGACCTAAAGATACTAGGTGTAAAGAAAAGGAAAAGATTACTGTATTTTTGCCAATTGCAGGCATGGGTGAAAGTAACATTCCATACTTACCGGTACGGAGGCCAGCTCCGGCCCCTGGAAGGGGCGGGGCCTCAGGCGGAAGGTGCGGGGCTGGGAGGGTCAGCGTCCCCCAGCCAGCCCATCCGCACTGCTTGGCCTGCACCGCCCAGGGCTCCGGTGGCGATGTAAAGGGCCCGGGGTGCTGGTCACTGCTGTGGTAGCAGCAGTGGTGGCCAGAGCCCCAGGCCCTTTTAAATAGCAGCCCCGGAGCCCTGGGCGGTGCAGGCCAAGAAGAAGCTGCCCCTTTTTCCACCCCCGGCAGTGGCCTGGGGGGGGACGGTGGGGGAGGAAGGAGGCAAAAGGGGGGATGACGGATGACGTTAAAGCGCTGCAATGGCAGCGCTTTAACGTCAGCTGAGTATGGGCCGGTACTGGGGGCCACTTTTTACCAGTTCACCTGCCCGTACCGCCTTACTTTCACCCCTGATTGCAGGCCTGATCCCATGGCCCTGATACTTTGCACAGATTCGTATTAATATGCAGTTACAATCTGATCCTGTTCACACTGAAACCAGTGGCAAAAATTCCATTACCTTGACTGCAAGCCCAGTCAGGTTTATAATCTGAACACTGACTCAGTATTTCCTATTAGTACGTTTAGAGGCATTGAGCCAAATGTCTTCACCAAAAAGTTGTGTTTTTTTAAAAACTGTGGGATAACGAATGCAGGTTAGCTGGTCTTGCTGTCGAATCCTAGTGGAGAGGCACACGTAGCTTTTACCGTGATGTAGTTAGGTCAAGGTCAACATTTTACCTCCCACCTGTGGTTGACCTCACGTTGCTTGAAGTAAAAATGACAGTCTCTTGTCTCCACTAGGATTTTTGTAGAGAGATAGCTAACCCTCGTTATTTATCCTGCTGTAAAAAAATACCCTCAACCTCGATGTAAACTACTCTAACTTTACTGAAACAAGTAGGGTTTCATTTTACTGACACTAGGACTGAATTTGGCCCATTATATCCATTTACTAGACTAACAAAAAAGTGAGAGTTTGCTCCTGTTATCATTTATTTGTTTTACTGTAGTGCCCAGGAGCTCCAGTCATAGACCAGGATTCCACCATGCTGGGTGCTGTAAAAACGCACAAGAAAAAGACAGTCCCTGCCCCAAAAGCTTGCAATCTAAGTATAAGCCAAGAGTCAACAGCTGGATAGAGGTAGACGGGGGAGCGCACACAATGAAACAATATTGTCTAATAAGACAAGATAGACACAGGGTGGGGAAGGGGTAGAACGCACAAGCAGAGTGAACAATGGGATGGCGGCAACTGTTATGTTAGGTCCACCATTTTGGGGGATGGGGTGATACTTGGGAGGGGATAGGCTAAATGAAAAGAAAAAGTGAGGGCAAGGAGGGTGAGAGGGACAGGGCAGAGGAGAAGAGGGTAAGGCAAGGCAGTTGTGGAGTGAAGCTGAGATGAAGAGCCTGAGGAAGGGGAAAGGCAGGGAGGAAGGGAGGGCTGGAGCAAACGGCCAATCAGCAGAGGGCAGAGAAAGTCAGAGCACTTTGAACTGTTTTGACTGGAATGTCGAGAGGTCCCAGATTTGGCTGCTCCTGTTCCTACCGGCTGGAGTCTCTGGTTGGCTGCTCTCTACTGCTCTCCATCATGCCATGGGGTGGGAGTGAAGGCACCATCTGGGTCCTTGTGCCACCGGACTAAGAAGATGTTGATGGGAGGGATGACCCCAGGTGGGCTCCACTTTACGCACTCTCCCCACAAGGGTAGCAATCCTTGCTTTGGCTTCATCTGTTGCTACCAATCTGTGGCTGGCTCTTCTCTGCAGATTTCACACCCCCACCCCCTACGTGGCTCGGGGGATCACCTAGATCCCAGTGCACCCAGACTGTGGCAGGGTCTCTGCTGGACAATTCTGGAGGGGTGCTGGGAGAGGGGTGGACACCATTTTATCCCCTCCTCCACTGCAGCTGACGTTAACCCCATCATGCCAGTACAGCTATGCAAGTATGAATGAGGTTCTGTTCTGCTTACGTCATTATCAACAAAAGCATCAGGAAAAGAGTGCTGAGTCTGCCACGCAGCATGTTGGAATCTGCCACTCTGTGACAAACCTACTTTAATCCCATCCCATTTTCAAAAGTGATTTAGGCACTCAGGAGCCTTTGTCCCATTGACTTTCAGTGAGGTGTTGGAGCCTAGGTCACTTTTGAACATGAGATTTAGGCTTCTAAATGAGTTGGGTATTGTGACGCTGTGCAGAATGCCTAAATATCTTCAAAAATCTGGGCCTTAGTCTCTCTGAGCCTCAATTCCCCATTTGTGCAACAGGCATCAAATTATTTTACAAAAGATTTGGAGAATAAATACACAGATACTTGGGAGGTACTCAGACATTATCATGATAGCAGCTCAATAATTAATTAGATAATCCAAATACTCCCAAAACTTTGGGAAAGTTCAGATCAAAATCTGAACTTCATAACTATTCCCTATCTTTACAGAGAGCCCCAAACCCAGAACGGCAAGTCCTGAACTCAAGTGATATTTTTTGATTCCCCCTCCACCGCCAAAAAAAGGGTGCTGTTTAAACAGAAAGACATGTGTCTCTGACATGGCCTATGCCACCATGCAATGCAAGGAAAATCTTTACTAAGTTCTCATGAACAGAAAACTGAACAGAAGAGGTAAAACCTGCCTAACTAGAAAGCAGAGATGCTGCTGTCCTCCTGCTGTAATAATTTGCATACCTATCCTTTTCAAAAATATTTTTGTAAACTGGCCACATTTATTTCAGTTAGGGCTGTCAATTAATCGCAGTTCACTCATGTGATTAACTAAAAAAAATTAATCGCATTTAAAAAAACTAATCATGATTAATCACACTGTTAAACAATAGAATACCAATTGAAATTTATTAAATATTTGTGGATGTTTTTCTACATTGTCAAGTATATTGATTTCAGTTACAACAGAATATAAAGAGTACAGTGCTCACTTTATTTTTTTTATTACAAATATTTGCACTGTAAAAATGATAAACAAAAGAAATAGTATTTTTCAATTCACCTTATACAAGTACTGTAGTGCAATCTCTTTATCGTGAAAGTGCAACTTATAAATGTAGGGGTTTTTTTTTGTTACATAATTGCACTCAAAAACAACACAATGTAAAACTTTAGAGCCTACAAGTCCACTCAGTCCTGCTTCTTGTTTAGCCAATCGCAAAGAGAAACAAGTTTGTTTACATTTACCAGACATAATGCTGCCCACTTCTTAATTACAACGTCACCTGAAAGTGAGATCAGGCAGTCACAGGGCACTGTTGTAGCTGGTGTCGCAAGATATTTATGTGCCAGATGCGCTAAAGATTCATATGCCTCTTTATGCTTCATCCACTTTTCCAGAAGACATGTTTCCATGCTGATAACACTCATTAAAAAATAATGCATTATTAAATTTGTGACCGAACTCCTTGGGGGAGAATTGTATGTTTCCTGCTCTGTTTTACCAGCATTCTGCCGTATAGCAGTTTTGGATAATGACCCAGCACTTATTTGTTTTAAGAACACTTTCACTGCAAATTTGACAAAATACAAAGAAGATACCAATGTGAAATTGCTAAAGATAGCTATTGCACTTGACCCAAGATTTAAGAATCTGAAGTGCCTTTGAAAATCTGAGAGAGGTGAGGAGTGGAGAATGCTTTCAGAAGACTTAAAAGAGCAACATTCTGATGCGGAAACTACAGAGTCCAAACCACCAAAAAAGAAAATTAACCTTCTGCTGGTGGCATCTGACTCAGATGATAAAAATGAATATGCGTTGTTCCGCACCACTTTGGATTGTCATCAGCATGGATTCATGTCCTCTGGAATGGTGGTTGAAGCATCAAGGAACATATGAATCTTTAGTGCATCTGACATGACGCCAGCTACACCAGTGCCATGCGAATGCCTATTCTCACTTTCAGGTGACACTGTAAACAAGAAGCAGGCAGCATTACCTTCTGCAAATGTAAACAAACTTGTTTGTCTGAGCGATTGGCTGAACAAGAAGTAGGACTGATTGGACTTGTAGGCTCTAAAGTTTTACATTGTTTTATTTTTGAATGCAGTTGTTTTACATAATTCTACATTTGTAAGTTCAACTTTCATGATAAAGAGATTACACTGCAGTACTTGTTTTAGGTGAATTGAAAAATACCATTTATTTTGTTTTTTTACAGTGCAAATATTTGTAATAAAAATAAATATGAAGTGAGCACTGTACACTTTGTATTCTGTGTTAATTGAAATCAATATATCTGAAAATGTAGAAAACACCAAAGAAATTAAATAAATGGTATTCCATTATTGTTTAACAGTGCGATTAATTGCACGTGATTCATTTTTTTAAGTGTGCAACAGCCCTAATTTCAATGCTAGAATGATTTTGTTATAA